ATCTTTATGCTGTTTAGACAGGAAGTTTCGCCCGCAAGAACAAATTGTCCTGCCATCACCTGCCAAAAGAAATCAACCCACTATCTGACAATCCCAGGTCCAGGCAAAGTGCCATGGAATGAGGCGTTTGTGGACGCCTGCAATGATTTGAACATATATTTGTATTTTGTGGGTTGTCACTGAATCCCTTCCCTCCAAATCTCCAAATACCGTCCACCCACCACGTCGCTGGTCTTGCCTCCATCAAGGCTGAAGTCGCCCGGTCCATGTTGAGGGCAATGCCTAACAGGGCCAAAGAAATCATTCGTGGTGGCGACTTTACTGGTGCAGACCTGGTCCAGGTTGCTTCGGATTTGCACCGCCCCTCCTTCAAGGATTGGGATTTCGTTCTCCAATGTGGGGTCTCTAGGATAAGCCCTGTGTTTGATGTTGAAACATGTTAAAAGTTTAGAACTGGGCAAGTCGGTGGTCTGTGAGTTATCAACGCAGGAGATTGCGCAGAACTTTGTATTCCTGCGCCCCCTGGTCCAGCATTTTCCTGACCATGTGCCTGGAGGGGTGCTCTTGACTGACATCTGGTTGTATCTGGACAGCCTCTTCGACCAGAAGTTGCTCTGCAAGCCAGATGTACCCAAACAAACACAGGCTGCCAACGAAGCCTCCAGATGCAAGCGTTTGATCGGCGCCTTGCGCTATCTCTACAGGAATAGTGCCTGGTTGAGATAGCTCTTGTTTTTTCATTTCAACCCCTTGAGAAGCTGTTTGGGTGATAGTTCGTCCAACTTGGAAGTGCGTATGAATATGTTTCTCACTCACACAGTTGTGTGATTCCCTGAGGCGCTCAAAGTCACAATCACAAGGTGTCCGAGCTGAAAGGCATGTTGATGCCATCTCCGGCATCTGCTGTTCCTTTCCTGTATGTTCTGTCAGTGCAGGTTTTTGTTTTTGGGAACGGTTAACAGTTAACATAGGTTACAAGGGGGAAGTATACGTGTACTTTATCGTCAGCGCATGATTTGCCCAGGCTCGGCGGGATGCACGTTTGGACCTTCGCAGGGCCAACGCCAATGAGAACCTTGGGGAGGCCGCGTTTGGGAAACCTTCAAAACTACAGTTCACTCAATGTTTTGGTTGAGCTAATTAATGGCTTCAATTTGAACCCACGGATGTATTGAAAGGGTGTCCAGTTTATATATTTTTTCAAGCTGACCAGATTGTCCATTGTGAAAGGGCGTGCGACTTGTCTTTATCCTGCAGGTGTTGGCTGATGCTCCCATGGACCTTGATGCGGACGCGGACAGTGAGGGCAGCGATGAGGTTGAGGAGGATGAGCCTATGCCCCTTGATGGTCAACGTTCTGAGGGGGGCGAAGCCGTGGACGACGCCACAACTCTTGTGCTTGGCGCAGGTGAGGATGTCGCTCCTTTGTCTGATGTGGACAGTGATTCCGACGAGGCGTCCTCGGATGAAGCTGCGAGTGACCCTGATTCACCACCGAATGAACCTAGTGGGAGCAATGGTGACAAGGGGCCCGGTGATGTGGTTGCGCCAGGCTGCTTCGAAACACCACCGGTGAGGCGTCAGCTGAACATGGATGCCGCGTTGAGCGAGGAAAAGAAGGCTGAGCCAGACCAGCCTGTGCATGAGATTGATTCAGACACCACTTCTTCTTCTGCTACAGTTGCCTGCCGTCGCACAGTATCTTTTGCAATTGTTTGGGTTGGGTTCATGGCTAACTGGGGCGTTGTTGTTTATGAGAAGTGGGAAACCGAGGGTGCTTGTCGTGGTGGCGCTGATGCTACTGCTGATTTATTGGGCTCTTTGAGTCTTCGGGGACATGAGAACCCTAACCATGAAGCTTGCAACTTCTCGAATCTAGAGACCATGAAGCTCCCATTGCTTGGAAAGCCTCAATGGATCAAAGACAGCGAGCATGGCATGTTGATAAGGTCTCCCCCTACAGTTGGGGAACAAGTACCTAGCCTGAAGTTGTTTGTGTTAAGAATGTCCCTTGTGGGTGAAGTGCTAGTGAAACAAAATATCGCTTGTGAGGTCGATGGTGCTGACGATGATGACCAGCGGCCGAGGGCGAAGAGGCCCAAGGCCAAAGCGAAGGCGAAGAGGGCTTCCTTTAAGCGCCGCAATGCCCGCGCTGAGCCTTCGCGACTTCATTCATCTCCAGCGGTCCAGAAGGCGCAGCGTGTTTGTCGTACATTCAGGGTTACACTATAGTTCATGAGTGTATGGCAGTACAAAGGTTGAAAGGACACAAAAACGAAAGGTGTTATAAGGGTCTTTATAACACCTTTCAAATTTATGTCATTTGAACCTCTTTGGCCACAGTGACGCGAGGTTCCTGAGTACAACGGCTATAACTTGGAGCATCTACCTCGGCAAGCGTGGCCTGCTGTGGATCGCAAGCACCAAGGTTTGCACAGCTACACCGTTTTGCGGGGAGCTGCCAAGATCGAGATCCTGCTTCGAAACAAGGCCTACTACGTTCGGGGGCCAAATAAGGGCCAGATCTCATGGGCCAAACATGGTGGCCCACATGATGCTTGGATTGTTGCCTGCACCAAGGCAGGAGTGATTCCTTAGCTGTAGATCTTTGGATCCGTCGAACGTTTTTGATGTAAGCCATGGCTCATGACAAACTGTTGTTAGCAACAAGGTTGGATCGTTGGCGTGTTCCAGATTCCAGGGCCATTGGCTTCTCTAGCTTTTGTGATGGGTGCATTGAAAGCAATGCAACACTGGGGTCGTAGCAGATGCAAAGCATCATAATCTTTGAAGACACACATCTATAGATATAGGAACGGCAGCTAGCGGTTGCGTTCAAGAGTGAAAAATCAAAGGCTACTTTTCAATCCAGAAACTCCCAGAGAAGTAGCCAACAGTTTTGCAGCTTCGACGCATACATGTCCCTATGTATCTAGATATGAAGCTACAATTGGAGTAGAGATCATTTTCTGTGGTTTGGGCCGCTTATGTTTCAGGTTTTGCTCAAGGCGTGCAATCTCTCCTGAAGGGTTCATTTTCTTCCAACATGGGGAAACGCGCCGTTCCTTCTGTGGAGAAAGTTCATTTGCAAGCGGTGAAGCAAACTCCCAAGTTCGACCCGTCGCCTTGTGGCAAGAAGTCATACCGGGAGATCAAGAGGAAGAGCATCATCGCTGGCCTTAGAATGATGAGAGCGCCCGCTGTCGCTAAGCTCAACTAAAGAAAATAATTCTCTTCACAGGGCCCCAAAGTGGAGGTTCTATGTTTCTGCCTTTTGTATCTGCCCAAAATAGTTTTCAAGTTGTGAAAAGGGCACCCGCCACCCAACTTCCCTACAAACCAATGTGAGAACACAGCTGCCCAGGTGGTCGCTGTGCTTGTCAATATGGTTTTTGGGCTCCAGTATTTGGACTTCAACCGCGAGAACGAGCTCCAGCATGTGGAACTCTTTGCTGGGGACTGCTCTGTCACCTGTGGGGAAGCCATGGACAGGGGTTCAAAACTTAAAAAAGCAAAACAAATCTGTGTGACTTGTGTGTAGTCTGAACCCTTGAATCGTGATGCTCATTCGTATGGAAGTTCATGTCCCTAGCTATCAGTGCTGTTCAATTGCAACAAACTGTCTTGGGAAAGTAGCCAGCCTGGAGGAGGGCAGGCGTTGCATTGGGCTTGACATCAAGATAGGTGGTGAGACCATGGATTTGACCACCAGCACTGGCTTCATTGCAGCGCTGTACCAAACATGCAGGTTGACTCCCGGATCTGGATGGCTCGCGGCGCCCGTTTGCAGTTCCTTCGTCTTCATGTCCCTGGTCATCTATTCATACCTTTTTAGCCTCTTTGAGTTCTTCAAAAACTCATGAACCGTGGCCTACTGGGTCAGATATGGAGGGACATGGTCCACACATAGAATTTCAAACACGGGAGAGCATCGCACACGTCAGGTCGAGGGGAACAACCAAGCGGAGCGCCACACGACCTTTGGGCGAGGAATCCTATGAGAGTGTCCGAGTTGGAAACATATTGACGGCGAGGACATTGGTGATCTTGATGGTTGCCCACGCATTGCGGTGTTTTTGGGTGCTCGAACAGCCCAAGGGCTCGGTGATGGAGCTACACCCATGTTTCCAGGAGGTTCTGGGACGCATGACTGTGTGGAAGCACTGCCTCCAGATGCAGCAGTTTGGGGCTCCCACCGCAAAGCCAACATGGCTTTACGCCAGCCCCTTGGCCGCGGTAGGCTTGAGCGGGGCAATGTGGGTGCAAGCTGGGGTGTCATTGGATGGATCATTCTAGCCACAGTACCAAAAATAAGGTAAAAAGGAGACTTGGTTGCCAACATGGAAATCATGTGAGGTGATGCTGCCATCGACCAATTGGAGGACTTTAGACCTCGACATCTTCCACCTCCACCTCCTGTCGAAATGGCAGTGATCTACACTGACTCATCGGGAAAGCAGCGGGTGAAGGGTGGAAAACACCTCAAAGCTTCACAAAGCTACCCGCTACCGTTTCTCGTCCGAATTGTTTTGCAACAGTGCCCAATCTGTGTGCCTTGGGGTTCCCCACCAAGTTAGAGTAGGAACCAATCGATGTTGATGTTCACTGCGCGCTGCAACTCCTGATGGCAGCGAGGTTTGGAAAGGCCCTCGCTCGCCTACGTTCTCGTCACCATGAGCGTTTGCGCTCTGCAGCTAGGGCTGCGTTGAAGCGCAACATGAAGAACTACCGGACAGTTCGCAGGAACACGAGGGCTGATGCCCGCTGGGTAAAGCATGCCGACCTAGCTACAGTCTTTGACTTTTTGGCGTGAAGAAACCATCCGCCACGAACAGTCTAATTTGCTTTTGGCCCGTGGGTTGAAGAGGTTCCCACGACCAAGTCGCAGCTTTTAGTAACAGGTATTCGCCTGAGCGAGAAAAACCATAGCTTGCAACACTCCCAGCTGGCAGTTGCCCTCTTTCCACTTTGGGCCCCACCCCAAACCAATTACAAGGGTCATAAATACACATAAATACATGATGCAAAGGGAGCTGTTGCGCTTCCCTGCAGTGCAGAGTTTGCGGGTTCTGAAAGGGGAAACCATTGGTCGTATCCATGATTTCCTCGGCAGTTACCTCACCCTGTCCACCGCAGGGTCTTGTGGTCACGTGTGCACGGAACCGTCTGCCAGGCCATGGGAAGATTTGTTCTCAAAGTGGCATTGAAAGGCGGGCCCGCCCATGTTTTAAAACAAACTTGTGGCAACATGCAAGGTCGAACAGAGTTGAACAGAGTTATCACTTTTTTGGCACAAACTCAGCCACGTGGTGTTGAGAACTCAGCCACGTGGTGTGTAGAAAAGCCGCGTGGTGTAGATTCAGCTCTCTCCCATTTTTGTGGTACCAGCAAACATTCGTGGAGCTCCCTTATTGTTCAATCTTTTGTGGGGTTCATGTGAAGAGTATCTAGTTCAGCCGCGAAATCGACCATTCAGCCACGTGGTGCATTCAGCCACGAACCGCATGGCGCATCTGTCCTCTTCTCTGGCATTTGCTGCATTTCCAGCCTCAGTCAGTTGCTCGGTTCATTGATTTGCAGTCGCGGTCGCATTCACCTGTCTAATGGCTGCTTCGAAGTCGAAGACCTCTAGTTCCAAAGCGGAACACAAGAAGGTACAAAAGACCATCGCTAAATCCAAACTGAAGCAGAAAGAAACGAAGAAAGCGAAAGAAAAGAAGGAAAAGAAGGTGAAGCGGGTGACGCCAGAGAAGAAACAGAAAGAAGAGCAAAAGTGTGCGAAGAAGGCGGCGGCAAAGGAAGAGAAGGAAGAGAAGGAAGAGAAGAAACAAAAGGTGGCAGAGAAGGTTGAGAAGGTGAAGAAACATGAAAAGAAGGAGAGTGGGAAGCAAGCGGCAAAGACGCCAGAATCAGTGGCAGTTGATGCTGTGAAGAAGGAGGATTCAAGCAAGAGGGTTGCAGAGAAGAGCTTGGAGTGTGATGCAAACAAGCGCCCTGCTCGCAGGGTATCCTTCAAGAGTCCAGAGTATGTAGTGAAAACACCGCCAATGAGAACCGTTGCTTCGCCTTCACCTGTGCCTTCTGCTGCGCGCAGTGTGGAGGCTTGGATGGAGGAAGCTGCTGCGCAAGGCATGAGCCTGGAAGACTTCATGAGTGATGTCAGCACCAAGTACTTGGAAGCGCAAGTTGAGAGTCGCATGAAAGACCTTGTCAAGACCAGCAAGGGTAAGGGCGTGGAGGATGATGACGAGGAGGATGCAAATGAAGATGCGTCTTCAGAGTCCAGCAGTGAGGAGACAAAGTCTAACAGCTCTGAGGATGGTGAAGGCGGGATTACTGAGACAGAGATTGAAGATAGTCTGAGTGAGGGCGGTCCAGAAGATGATGAAGACGATGGCGAGAATGAAGATGGTGATGAAGACGCCATCGATGAAGGGATTGATGCACTTCTGGATGGAAGCCCTGCGAGTGAGGCAGAAGAAGAAGAAGAGGACAAGAATGACAAGGGCGAGAAGAAGACAGGTAAGGGAAAGGGGGAAGACACAACAGAAAAGAAGAAGGCAGAGAAGATGTCAAAGAAGGAAAAGGGGAAGAAGGACCCTGAGAATGACAAGGCCGCTGTCATCAAGGAAGCTGTAGAGGACCAAGAACGAAAGTTCAAAGATGCCACCAGTGTGACGCACAAGGCTGAGTATGACAAGTTTTGCCGACAGTGCCTCGACAGGAAAAAATTTCCTCTGTCACTGGCTCCCCACTTTGTCAAGAACAAGTTGGACCTTTTCAGGGGTTGGCTGGAAGTGTCTCAAAGTTGGTCAAGACTTGAGGTCGAGTTTGACCGTCGGGCGGAAAGAAAATTGACTTCAAAGAAGTCAAGGGCTGGCATCAAAGCAAGGGATATCCTGAAAATGTATCCCAAAGAAAAGGCTGAAGATTTGATGAAGCGTCTCAAGTCCAAGGGCCTTTTCCACTTCGACGATGACTTCCCCAACGATGAAGAAGAGATCTTCTACTATGTTGGCCAAGGCAACGAATTCAAGGATGAGAACATCACCACAGACGGGGTTGCTGTGAAGATCAAGGAGACCGGCAACAAGGAACTTGCGGACACCCTGACAGGGGATGATGGTTTGCTCAGGAATGGCGCTGTTCCTGCAGTTCAAGCGCACAATGAGGCTGGGGAGAAAGCTCTCATCGATGCAGTTGCGGGGTCAACGGAGAAGGCCCCAAAAGAACCCAAGCCTAAAAGGGACCCAGCAACCAAGGCAGAGCCAAAGACCGTCTTGGACAAGGCCAGGGATGAAATGGAGAATTGTCTCCGCAAGTCAGCTGAAGGTCGCAAGTATGCTATCAGCTTGCAGGCGACTGAATACAGCGGTGACTTGGCCACCAAAATGATGGCATTCAGTGAAAAGATGGAAAAGTGCTACAAGGCTTTGGTGGAGCTGGTGCAAAGAAAGGAAGACAAAGAAGCAAAGTACTCGAATCTCTTCTCCGTGATTGCCGACAAGATTTCTTGGTATGAGACTGCTGAGGCCTGGAAGCCAAAACGTAGTTGAAACAAACGAGTTCCAGAAACATCTCACGGTTTGGAGCCCTGCTTCAATTGACATTCATCGACTTTCCAACTCTCTGACAGCCCTCAATGTTCGTGTTCCAAACATCTCAATGTATATAGCTTACATGGCATTAGAGAATATATTATGGTGAACGTTTTATACTTACATGATTACATGGCATTAGAGAGAAACTATTATGGGGAACGTTGAGAAGATAATCGTGGAACCACCAGCTGACTTGAAAACTCTCTTCTCTTTCGCTTGCTCTTTCAGGGCGCGGCCAAAGGATTGCTCTCCAGCTTCAAGCCAAAGAAGGGTAAGAAGAAGGCAAAGAACGGTGAGCCTGAGGAAACTGAGCGCACCAAGACTTCCAAGGAAGCCAAGCCGTGAAAACATGGCATGCTTCTCACCAGATCTGCCAGATTAGCTACCACAAAAACACAGGATATCGAACCACCTACTGTACACCCAGATCTATTGTTGGACGCTTTTTTGTAATGAGAACTAGATAAAGTCTATTTTCTTTTGGCAGGATGGTGATTTTGAACGTGATAGAGTTTCATCTTCTTGGGAGTGATAGCCTATCGTCTCGGGGCTTGCAATCACATAGCGCCTGCCACATCAACAGTGGCACACGGTGAACTTCTGCAGATTGCAGTGGGGTTGAGGCTAGGACCACTGCCAAGGTGTTTGAAAAAGGATTGCATTTTGCTGGATCAACCGGTTCCCAAGCTGTGCCATTGGCTTTGCACCCTATTCATTAAGTGCACATGTTTGAGCACCCAGCGCTTGCCAATCAGTTTTGGGTGTCCCTTTCTGAAACTGCGGCAATTCTCCCGGCCAGGCTCCAATGCAAAGAAAAATGCTGGCCGGGCGAGGCTGGCAGGGAGCGACCGTTGGGGCCAAGGTTTTGATCGTCACGTACTTTTTTCTCGAATCGTTGACTCTCGACCAACGTCAACTCGTTGAGAAGGCAGTGCCGATTTGAAGACATGGCCCCCAGCAAAAGTGCTGACATCTACCTTCGCAGCTAGGCCAACAACAGTGTCTCTCTAACATATCACGCAGTCATGAACTAGGGGGTTGCAACAACTTTTTCAGTTCATAAAGCCGAGGCATGATTGGATCGGGGCGTTCCTCTATCGCTGAGATCTGTGACATTAGTCGTGCGAACGCTGCCGACGGACACGCGACCGAAGCTGTGGAAGCTTTGCAATCTTTGGGTGGAGGTGGGAAGTTTGCAAGTAACCAAGAACGAGACCTACATCGGTGGACCAGAAATCTGTATGGAACACGGCTGGAAACATATAGCGTGCCCTTTCTTCTCAATGTTTCTGGGAGAAAAATTATGTGAGCACATGTTCAGGGAATGTCTTTTTATCTCGAAATGCTACAACCGTTCACCCCCTCTATGGCCACTCTGCTCTCACATCTTTGCATGAGGTTCCGGACATTGACAATGGCGCCAAGACCATCGAAGTCCCATGCCTGTTGCCGCATGAAATCTTTGACGCCGTTTGGCGAGCTGGTTCGCGACAGGACAGGTTTTGTTCAAAGCTGCATTCTGAAAGTCTCACTTACAATGATTCACGGTGTAGACATGTAACCCCTGCAGTTTCAACAATCGATGACTGGTCACCGAAGTGAGGGCAGCATTCAAGAGTTTTGGGACCATTGCAGCAAATTCGAAGAGTGGTGCGATCACCCTTGCCTTTTCCGAGAAGGTGTCTCTAGGTCTAGCACCAAAGTTGCAGTTCATTCACCCCAAGCCAAAGGAGATCAGCGGGTTATATGAATAGATGTTGATATTGATATCTACATATAGGGTCTGTCCCATTGCCATCAACACTGGATGAGGGTTAGCAAAG